CAAATCATTAAAGGATGTCAGATGTAAATAACACTTTACAGAATCAACAAGGAGTCCGGTGGCACCTTAAAGACTAACAGATTTATTTGGGCATAAGCTTTTGTGGGTAAAAAACCCACTTCTTCAGATGCAACAGAATGCAAATGAGGATGTTGGAGCTTACATTTTAGCTCAAGACAAATTAGGTAATCGTTCAAACCCGGCTGGGAACAGTGCTATTGGGAGGTCAGTTATGATGGCTTTGTAAAGATCTTATAGGAGAAGATGCATTCTCCACTGGAAGGATGCTTGAAGTGTGGCCATGGTTCGAAAAGGCACAAAGATGAGTGTGAGACAAAAGGACCTCTTAAGAATGAAGCTTAGAAAGTGAAATGAAAACAAAGAATGGGGAAGAGGATGGGTTGGAGAAAGCATAGGCTAGTGAAGTGATTCAAAGGTACATAAATGGTCACGATTGGACTAACAAATACTTTGTGTGATTGAATTGTGGTGCAATACCAGATCTGTGTTGGTAGCTTATATAGTACCTGTCTGTATTGTACATGACTCTGTGGTATTAGTCTGTCACTTTCATGAGCAGTAAAATTCACCAGCTTCCTGGTTTTAAATATATTAAAAGAATCCCCTGACTTAGTGAGACTTCACCAATGTAAAATGAAAGCAATGTAAATAAGAGAATCAGGTATGGAAAATATCAACTATTGCTCCTACTCCATCTTCTTGATAGTACAGGTTGTTCAGTATTTGGTCATCTACTTTTAAATGGGCTTCCACTTCCTTTGAGATTAATTGCAAGAGAGATTTTCTTGACTTTATTTCTCCTGCTTCTATTCCTCTTATGCAAATTCTTTTCATGTGGGGGTTTACATCCCTCAAATGTATGTAGACCTCTATAAATACATTTGAATGTCTTTTTTGTAAACAACAAAATCTTTGTCTATCTAGTTTAGCCTTCCATAAGCAGAATTTATGGTCTGGCAAATTATTGGTGAAGAGGAAGAAAATGAACGGATTCTCATTATTTTACGGCTCTCCCTTCACTTAGTGCTCTACCCAGAAGATAGGCAATGTGCATTCCTTCTAACTTACTGTCCTTCCCTTAAGACTTTAAGTCTTGGTGTCTTCTAGATTTTTTTCTCTATCACTGAAACATTAAAATATTCCAGGTTTTTAATCCTGATCAAGTAATATGTTCCAACTAATGTTCTCAAGGCATTTTAAAATGAAATAAACAGAAAATGTAGTTATCTAGTGACATGTTCAAGAGATTTGGGTCTGATTTGTTCCCATCCTGGTTTCATCTATAAGCTCAGGTTGCAAGCTGACTCCTGGCTAAGCAAGAGCTCTGTTACACTGTGGCTTCTCAAGGGAGGCTTGGCAAGATGGTGATTACAAAAGGAAGCTTGTGGATTGTATTGTACTGGGAAAAACTGGCAGAGTAGTAAGAACTCTGCCTCTGTGTTCTCTACTGGATTGAAAATGTCTGGTGGTCTTGCTCTGGAGATAGAAATAACCGTATGCTTTAGTCTATGCTGAGACTTTTAAAGGTTTCTCAGCTCAAGATCTTACAAAAGGCTTCCCTACTACAAGTGTCATGTACTAACATTTCCCTAACATTTATTCGAACTTTTAGAAGAGGCAACAGTGGGCAAGAATCCTACAGTAATATGATAAAAAGCAAGCTCTTCTGGAGTAGTGGGAATTAATGCTTGGGGCCTGTCTATGCTATTTTTCATCCACCTCACTAGTGAAAACCCCTAGCCTACACCCATTGCACTGGTATAAAATTACTTACACTGGTGCAGATTACCTGGTTTGAAGGCTAGTCAAGTCAGACTGGTTCTGTGTTTACACAGAGACTTACAGTGGTGTAGCTGCATGCACACACACACAAATTCAGTGCAGGGAAGCCTTTGTAATGGCAAACAATGTGACTGCCTCAAATAGACTCTCAATAGCAAGCATCTTAAAGCCTTTTAAAATGCTGTAGTCTGGTATATTTTTAGACTAGAACTCTAATTTTAGCCCTTGAATACTATATGACGTATGCTAAGAATAGCTAGAGAAACATGTTCACTGGGTTTCATGTGCCAAGGTAGGAGCAGAGCTCTTTATTGGGATAGAAAAGAGGGAAATAATATCACTTGCTGAAAGAATGTGACCAGTAAGTATTTATTCGATGCTCCTCCACGATTCTAGCAATATCAACATTCTTCAGTAACTGAGACTGCATTAATTTCCCCTCCCCCCCATCAATAATCATTATTCAGCTACTGCTTGTAGTAGTTTTTTTTTGTGGGTCAGGGGCTTGATTATTCCACTTGAGTGTTACCTCTGGAGGAGGGACCCATCATCAGTTTAATCCTCTGGTTACTAGGGTGTTTAGTAAATGTTTCAAGTTGTTTGTGAGGAGGCAGCTGAAGTTAGGTGTACCTATTGGGGGGAGGAGCTACTGAACCCAGGGCTCAAGCAAGGTTGGGAGCAACTTAATGACAAAGTGGATCAGGAGTGATGGTCAAAAGTTCAAAATAGAGGATCCAGATGGGGACACCTAGCAGAGAACCCTGGACAGTACCCACTGCTCCTCAAAGGTGCCTACAGGGCCAGTGGAGGTAGCCCAAAGCAACTCTGCCCAGATATGCGAATGAAGAGAGGAGCAGAAATAGGCCCCACGGTCACTGAGCACCTTGCCATCCAGCATCCTCCTCCTGGTGGAATAGATGGCCACCTTGGTCAGCGCTAGCAGGAGGCTGACAAGGAGGTCTCATGACTTCATGGGGCTACAACTGGGGTGTGCATAAATAAAAGTATGAGGAAAAGTGCAGCCAGAACCGAATGAGAGAAAAGGGGCTGCAATCTGGTTCACTGGAGGTAGATATGTGCCAGCAGGGTCTCCCTCACGCTGGAGATGGGACAGGTGTTGGGGAGAGGGGTGGACTGTGCTAAGCAAGTACACACCTATGCTCATGGCTCCATGAAGGAGCTGCCAACTAATATCCCTGGCAGGCCCTAGGACCAGCGTGGAATACTGACTTGCCCACTCAGTATAACATGCAAAACATTGATTATTTAAAGTCACAAAATATCAGTCTGCTGACCTACTCTCTTAACTTCTTTCCCTTAAGTTTTGCAGGATCAGGGTCTTTATCCTTACTCCATATGTTAGGAGTCAATCCATCTGGTATACCTTCAAGAAGGAAATATTTTCAGCAGCTTTTAAAAAAAGGTAATTTTACCCTCAGGAAAGCCTCTCATTATGCAAAAACAAGGCACCAACCAATAAACACAAAAGGTGGGGAAAATAAAGCTGGCAAAAGGAACTCAAGGGCACAGGAGATTACTGAGGTCAGAATCTTGCTAAGATTTTGGCATGGGTGGGATGTGTATGTGGATCACAAGAACACCCACAGACCCAAGGAGTGCGAGGTAGAATTTTATTGGACCAAGTTCTGCTGGTGGAAGACACAAGCTTTCCACCGTCACAGAGTTCTTCGGAGTGTTGTGAAGCTCAAAAGCTTGGCCCTGGCCCCCTGCAGGCTGGTACACGGCACGGGAGCCAGCCTCTCCTTGCATCACGCGTATCTCGCCCTTCCCCGGCAATTCGCGCCCCCCCAGCTACCCGTGGCCTGAGGTCCGCACAGCTCAGCGCCGCCGCCCGCGCCACGCTGGAGCCGGGATGGCGCCCCGCGGAGGCGGAGCGAGGTGCCACGTTGCAATGCGGGGAGCAGCAGGCGAATGGCTGTGCCGGCTCCCAGCAGGCAGCGCGCCGACAGGCATGGCCTGCCGCGGACACTCGCCCCGCCCCACGCAGGGCCCGCAACTGCGACCGGGCCCAGTGCAGAGTTAGGCCTGGGGCAGCCACCCGCAGCGTAGGAGCCTGAGTCACGCCGACCAATCCCCGCTCGCTCGCGGACAGGGCGGCCAATAAAATGAAACCCTTGGGGCTCACGTGAGTAGAGGGCGGAGCTAATAAAGCTGGAACGCTCGCTCTGCGGGTCTGGAGGGTGGGCGCTTCAGTGCTGGGGCCGCGTAGGGGGCGGGCTGGGGATAATTCCCCTTTTCGCGGGAGGTGACTGGCTAGGGCTGCAGCCAGCCTGCCCTGCGGGAGCCCCCGGGGCGTGCGGCCCGGGCTC